TTATTATGTTCTATATCGTTGTAATATAAAAAAAATGATAAATAATAATGTGTGACAATTATGTTATTAAATTAAAAATATATAAAAAAAAAAGAATGGACTTCATTTACATCGAATTTTGCTCGTACATCATTTATTAGAATTATATGGATTTTTATTTCCTAAAATACGTTGTATTATTAATGCACGTATGGTGTTAGAAACTAGTGGATCGTAGGGGTAAAATGATTTATGCAAAAAAAATGTAACGTTATAAACTGACACATAAACTACATTAATGCAAGAAATTATTTCCACATTTGAAGAAATATAATTATATTCATGAAAATAAAATATCTTTCATCAAAACATAATATTCTTAATCCACAATAGTAAAAAATTAAATTACACATATGTCTAAATATATATTAAAAATGCTTATACAATTTTTTTTTTATTATTTATATAAAAAAAAATTTTAAATTAAACAGAATTATAGAAAAAAAGATTTATCGAGCATGTTTAATTTGTCATATACTGATTATTATTCCATATTAAATATTATTTATAATAATACTCAGGTATAACAATGCTTAGTATATATTAAACTATTCTGTTGTGATAAATAAATAGAAAATGTTTTTTATTGAAAAATATTTACGCAGGTAAAAAAATTAGTAATAAAGGAAAAATATGTATTATAAATAGACTGAAAATTGAATTTGTGTAATTCTGTTAAGAACTTAAAACATAATTTTTTTTTATTTTATACAATTCTTTTATGTTCCGATTAAATATGTAAATTTGTTATGGAAAACAAATATTGTCTTGTTAGAATTTTTTTTTTATGTAATATTTTTTTTTTGTCTTATTGATTATTTATTTGGATTACAAAAGTATGATAATACTGGTGTTGTAAAATGTTAATTAATTAATATATTTGAACTCTATGAGCAATTTAAATGTGATATTATGTAGACAATTGGTGCCATATATCACAACTAAAAAGACAATTTATTTTTCTAAAATTGGTGTAACGCATATTGTGGCATAAATATGTAAAAAAAGATATGGATGACTCATTAAGTGTAAATTAAAGATTTTATTAATTATAATATATTCTATAATTGACGCACAATTTTATGAATTTGTCATATATGTTGCGTCTTTTTCAAAATTACATTAATAAAATGTTCACATAAAATAAAAAGTTTTTTTTTATCATTTTTGTATTTTCAAAAAAAAAAATAAAATAAAAATGTTGTATAATACGGATCTATGCGGACAAACTATTAGCACACTTAAGAAGATCATTCAAATTCCTCATAATGTTGAAGATATATAAAAATATTTGGATTATTATGTTTCTACAAATAGATCTAATTGTTTTGATGAACATTCTAGTAATCAAGATATTTCGAATGATATTAGAAGTTTAAAAAGATGCAATAATTATAATTAAAATTTAGTTAATGCAGTATCTAATATATTATTTAAAATATTCATAATTTTAAGTGATAGCTGTTATACAAATTCTTTCAAAAAAGTCTAAACCATAGAGAAATTGACTTAAGCATGTGATTTAACTATTTCAGGTTACAAAATAAACGAGTAAAAAAAAAAATATTCAGATATTTAGAATACACAAAGAAATTTAAACAATTTACGTAGACATCTATAGATATCGTTTACGTTTTAGATTCTATATGGAAAAAGTTAATCTCAAGAATAATAACAGAAATATCAGGGTTCCGAACCATTATCCCATGTATGTTTCCTTATTTGTAAGAATCATCCTTATATTTATTTTTTATCAGATATCTACAACTTTTGGTGAGAATTACTAATATTTTACTATAATAATGTATATTGAGAAAAATGATTCATAATTGTAACATACACACAAAAATTTATATGAATAATATATTTAATATGTCCACTAGTTTTACACTTTAGGTCCTTTTTTATACAATAGCAGCAAAAATAAGAACAACATTAAAGGTTATAATAAAAAAGAATTTCCATATAATGTATTATTATATAAAAAATTTAGACATACAAATTATTCCGTTGAACATTAATGGTATTATAAATAACCTTTGTAGAATAATATGCAACATGAATTGTGCTAACTATAATGTAGTTTAACTTCATGAATATATAAATTTATGATGTTGCTTCTTTTATAAATAAGGATAGTTAGAGAAAAAAGCTTTACATAACATTTGTATGTAATTAATTATAGAGATTTCCCATTAACAAATAAAATATATCGGAGATATAAAAATTATCTATTGAAAATAAAATGAATATTAATTTAAGTCTTGCATTAAGCATTATTTTTTCGATAGATAACTTATAAAAGGAAATTATACCAAAATAATAAAATTAATAATAATATGATAATGTTTTATTTTGTAATTTAAATATATATTAAGATCAAAATAAGTTGTATATAATTATATTTAAATAATTTATTCACATAACTTAAAATTGGGGATTACTATAAAGAATATATCTTTTTGTCCTATTTAACATGTTTTAAGGTTAAAGGTGTTCTTATATATTTTAATAGTATTTAGATCACATATTTAGGTTAAACTTACAATAATTTGGAAGGACATATCTAAGAGATTGAAAAATTCTAGAAAATATGTGTCTATAATTTTTTTTTTTATTGTGCCCATTTCTTTGTCTAAAAAAATATAACTTTTTAACACAAATATTTTTACCTATTGTCAGCATAATTGTCTATGTGTAGATGACACCCTTATTAAATGTTATAATAAATTAAAAAAATATTTATTCTGTAAAGAATGAAATTATTAATAAAACGTATTTTTTTATATGATAACTCTTTTTATATTACATCCTCTATTAAATAATGCACGATACATATTATTTTCGCGAAGAATTCTTGCTGACTCGATATTCGCTCCTTGTCAAAATTTAACAATAAAACTAAACGAATACAACATACTTCCTTAAAAAATGTTAATTTTTTTTATCTCTTACACATTTTTGTAAATAATTCTCTAAAATATATGATCACATATTTTTCGGTATATTACACATTATAAAAGTGAATATTTTTATAATATTACATAAAATTATTTATTAGATATGTATAATATCACAAATACATAAACGATTTTAGAGATTCTTATAAATATATAATAGAGAGTTTATCATTTAACTGTTTTCAAATATCAGCAAAACAAAGGATATGATTTGCAAGGACACTGTACACAATGTTAATGTTGTAGGTATATAATTAAAACTTTTATAATATATAAATTTTAAACATTTATATATGTTTCATTAGTATAGTTAAAGAATTAAATTATTTAGTTTTTTAATAATAGAAATAAATAAAGTTGAATGACATAATGAAGTAGTTGTAATGCTGCATCAAGATGTCAACATATATATATTTTTATAGTAGTAACTCATTATGTTATATATGTTAGTTTATTTCATTCATCATTTATTAGAAAAAGTATTTTATCAAATAAAACGTAGCTAATAATTATGAAAATATTAATATTTATCACATATTAATAGATAGGTGAAGTGGATATATTATAAACTATGAATAAAGTTCACTATGACATTAAAACACCGAATATTACAGGAATTACTATTACATGTTTTTGTACTTTATGAATAGAAAAAAATTTATTTATTGAAACCATTTCGTGAGGGGAAAAAATCATATAGACATATTCTTTATTTTTATCTTTCAGAGTGAAAGTATGCATAAAAGCTGATATCTACTATTGTAAATATATTACATACACATATATTAAAATTATACGTTACATTATTATTTTAATTACTGCATTCGATGATGATCTTAGACTATCATATTTTGGGGTAAAAATTTACAGAATATGACATTTTATTTACTGAATCTATGATACTGAAATCTCCGAAGAGGTGAAATGTTTTTTTTTTGTTCGTTTTTCTTTTCTTTCTTATTTAAGACAGCTGTACTATCAAATAGCATAAGAAGAATAATCATAAAATTAAAGTAGTAAGAAATTCTTCGCTTAGATATTTTGAAGAGGCTTATTCCAATCTATGTTAAATGATATCAAATTCATATAAGAAATAATTTTAAAATCTCTGAGACAAATAACAAGAATTAAAAGAAACATGATTGTTGTGATGCCAACTGTCCGTGTAACACAGAATTTATAAATGCATTCTTGAAATTAATCGAATGAACCTTTGAAAAATAAATATTGATATCAGAACTTTGAATGTTTTATCTTTTTTTAAGATACCTTAAGTTACTACCTTCGTATATTAAGTGATCATATAATTTAATCATGCAATTATAAATATATATTCAATATTTATAAGATTGTTTTCCAGATATAGAACATTAGTATATATATTACTGCATTTACCTTAATTATAGAAATAATAACCCTCAAATTCCTGTTCACACATAATGTACTACTACAAACATTATTTTTATCAAAATATAAATATTATTTTAATAAATGATATACAGACAATAATGATTTATCCACAAAAAAAGAATTGATATATGTGTTTTCTATATTTATTCACAATTTAAATAAAACATATAAAAAGATGATATTCATCATTTTTCACAGTGTAAACTTATGAGACATCATTATGTTTAAAATAAAATATATTAAATTTTTTTGTGTTTTTAAATAAATATAAAAATGATAATTGTGTAATAATTAAAACAAAGTAACCAACATGACTAACCAAAAAAAATAAAAAACAAATATGAAAAAACAAATAATATTTTAAGCAAACTGTCTGAATCGTGCATATTACTTTCTTATAAATAAAATGAAAAATAAATACAAAACTTAAATAATAATATTTATATGAAATATATAAAACTATATAATTATTTATACACATATAATAATAATAGCTTCCACACAAAAAACGACCGAATTCTAAATATAAACATATGAATTAAAACTGAAGAGAGTTTAAGATATCCAAGTAGCAGCTCAATGACATACTTTTCATTTCAAATATATATACATTTTTATTAAATTCGTTTTTGTTAGTTTTAATAATAATGGATACTATATAAAATAATTTGAGGATTCATAGAGATAATATATTAGAAGTTAGATAAAATAAATTATGGTGCTATCCATGAATTAATTATATAGACTTTTAAATGCATAAATATAATCAACTAATCTGGGCTTTAACTTCCCTGCTCGTAGTATACGGCGTTTCAATATTTTTATGAAAATATATAAAAGCATAAATATAGATAAAACAGAAAATAAAATGTAAAAATTAATTAAATATACATTCCATTCATATCCTTTTATTAAAATATAAGCTCCTGATAAATATACAATCGTAGGTAAGGCCAATATAATAAAAACGTTCTTAAAAACCCCAGTAATAGATTTTTTCACATGAATATCTGTTTCATCCATATAGTTGTGTATTTCACTAATCTTTTTGAATAATTTTTTTTCAAAGTAGTTATCTATATTTTTTAAAATGTTTTTTTGGGATTTTTTTTTATTTCTTTTTAATTTTGATATATTCATATTACACATATCACTATTTTTAAAGAAGTCGTTTTCTGATTCATATGATATATCAAGTATTGATAATAACCTACATTTACTTGTACATAATGATGTTACTAGATTTTTTATACTATCCACAGAATTGTTAGGAACCTCCTAAAAATCGAAAACATAAATAAAAATTTTTAGTAATAATAATTTTCATTCATGCAGCATACAACTATATTAAGAAATAAAAAAAACATTAAAAAAAATAAAGTATTTGAGATATTATAATTTTACATGATCCTTTCTATAATGTTCTATCCATGCAAAAAATAAAATTGCAAAAATTTTGTTAAAGTATTGAAACATAAAATATCCTGCCATAGTGTTCTACAGTTTATGATATAATAAATATTGAAAACTATACCTATATTTTTTACATTTAATATATAAAGAGATAATGAATTGGGTATGAAAATATCAGTATTAATATTTAATGTTTTTTTATTAATAATTATTAAAACACGCACAGATAGATTTCCATTCCTGAAACAGTGATGTAGAAGTGATAAATTTAAATCAATATATTAAAGTTATTACTCTGAAGTTATATATAAATGTAAAGAAATTACAATTAAATTTAGTTTATTCATAACTGTATTCTCTAAGTAAAGTAATATATTTATTATTAAAAATATTATAAATTAAATAATTATTCTATTATAAGTTTTCTAATGATGTAAAGAAATGAGATATAAAAAAAGTTAAAAAAATGTACGTTTTGCTAGTAATGGAATACATGTAATAAATAATATTGATAAAAAAATACATATATAGTGATATTTTTAATCAAATATTGTTATTTTTTATGAGTTTTATTTTAAACAAAATTTAATTCTTTACATAATTGACAAGAAAACAATGATACTTTGCACGAACATTCTTAACTGTTTAATAATATGTATATAACAAAAATAATAATATCTATTTAAAATTAAATAAGCATTATAAAATTATTAAAATTTACACAAAAAATGCCATTGTATTTTTATTAAATATAAGATAATAAAGATATAATATTTTTAATTTCATTTTAGGTTGCTATTTTTTTGATATATAAAATTGTATAATATGTTTAATTTTTCCTGTATTAAAAAAAAATATAATATTAAAAATATTGTAAAGAAGAACGAAATAACATAATATTACTTTTTTATAATATTGAAAATTTAATATATGGGTTATATAAAAAAGGGAATACGTAAGGAACATAGAATAAAAAATTTCAAAACATATTATATGTAGAATCATGTATAATTATAACATATTTTAATTTATTTATTTATAATATCCGCATATCATATGAAAAAATGATATTAAATATAATTGAATATAAAAATAATTGTGAAATATTTTTAACATTCACTTTTCTTTTATTTTACTAGAGGATAAATAGTTAGACTATATTTTATGTAATTTTATGAATATATATTGTGTATATATTTACAATTACTTCTATGAACAACTTCTTAATGTTATAAAAGTTCTTTGAAATAATAACCTTTTCTCTATATTTTTTGTGTAACATGTGTCTTACATAAAATGAATAATAATAACTATGGAAAATAAACTAAATTTCTTTTCTATATTTTTTAAAATAACATTAATTTTTTTGTTAAAAATATTACAAAAATTCTAATAAAGGAGTTAATAATGACTTGTAAAATAAAATAATCTATAATTTTTTAAAACCATTCTTTATATTTTAGCATATTCATAAAAAAACGATTACAAAATAGTAAATCTATATTTTTATAATTATTTTTATATACTCATTTAAAAGGATTTTTTTTTTTTCTCATCTTGTATAGGTGAATATCAAAATATATTGTGCTTTGTAACATAACAATGCATATATATTTATCATATTTTTAAAATATATTAATTGTTATTGTTGTGTTTTTCATAAAATACATTATGAAATTCTAATAAATTTGTTTACGTTATTGCTAAAAACACAGGATAATGTACATGAACAAATTTATGTGTATATTTTCATTCAAAAAAATTATATTGAATATTGTTCAGGATAACTCATACATATGTTTTTTTTTTTTAGGTTATTTATATTTTATGCTGCATATATAACATTTGATTTTCATTACATAAATATTTGCTTCAAATTGGATTATTTATCAAAAAAATATGCAAATGGATAAGAGAACAAATTTTTATACTGAATTACTTATTATAAGAATATCCGACAAAGTACGATTTAAAAAAACTACTGTTAGCTGATTATTTATAAAATAACATTCTTTCTAATTCTTATACAAAAAAAATGCTTTTTTAAATTATATAATAAATAAAACATGATTATTTAATATCATATTTACTATAATGATATACTTATTGCTTTGTTTTTTATAAGGAATTTTAAATATAAACATCCAGAATGGTTTAAAACTTGGAAAGAAATAAAAAATAAGCACATAAAAGATTTAATTAAAACAAATAAAAAGTTCGTAGTTTGATATTTTATTATACAAAAAAATAGAAAATACACATCTCAGAATATTAAGAGTTAGTTTAATGAATGGCATATGTAGGAGAACATAAAGTCTATTTTATAATGTAAGAAGCATCATATACAAATAATTCCAATAGAGCAATAAAAAAAAATAAAAATAATAGAACAAACAATTGAACCCTCAATAGCTTCAGAAATATATTTAAAATATAACACACAAATCATTATATAAAGCTATACTCTGAGCCCCTAAAATATAATGTATAATATTAAATCCTAGAACATGCATCATGAAATATGTAATATAATCCTGAACAATAAGCCTTGAAATTTGATTGTTCTAAAAATAAGATGTATACTGTACATATGCCTTATATATATGAAACAACGATTTTATTATTTTAAAGGACAAACTTAATAATTATGAGTCATTCCTTAATAATTTTATTTCTTTTTACTATATGTATCGTGAAAAGAAATTTACAGATTAATATATAAGGACGTATATCAAGTATATTTAAACGTTTTAATTTATTTGTTCCAGCATAACTATTAAAATGCAATATAATTTTTTATATTATCATAGAACACAATCATTTGAGAGGAATTGTTTTCTATATCCTTTTGAGAAATATATTATTTTGTGAAAAAATAAATTTATAAAATATGCTTAGCAAAAAAATAAATGGATACAAAATTAATGTTATTTTGTTTTAACATAAATCTCTTTATGGGTTTATGTATTAGACCGTCTACATTGGCATGTATAATAGTGCTTTTAAATTGGAAAAAAATTAATGAGATTAATAATATTAGATAAAAATTAAAATAATATTTAAAATATAGATTATCAAAGTTTTGTTTAAATAACTATTTTGTTTTTTAGTTAATTTATATTTTGTTTATCATTTTATGCTTATAACTTTCATGTAAGTTTCATTATTTTATTTTTTTTTTGTGAAAAAAACAAAGCATAACATTTCTTATATTAACAAAAAAAAAAA